AACTAACTTTTTAAAAGACAACGACACATGTATACCCATGTAACAAACCTGCATGTTCTGCACATGTATCCCAGCCCTTAAAATATAATAATAAAAAAGGACAATAAATGTTGCGGGGGTTACATTACTTAATTTCAAGGCTTATTATAAGGTCACAAGAATCAATCAGAAGAGTATAATATTGTCATAACAATAGAAATGCGTCACTGGAACTACAGAGTCTAGAAGTATACTCACACATATATGTATTTATAGAGAATTCATTATTAATTTGAATAGACACTTCTTAAAGGAAGAAGCAAACAAGCATGTAACAGGTGCTCAGCTTGTTTGATCATCACAGAAATGCAAATCAAAGCTACGATGAGATATCATCTCACCCCAGTTACAATGGCTTATATCTAAAAGACGGCAACAACAAATGCTTGCAAAGATGTAGAGAAGAGAGAACTCCCCATACACTGTTATTGTAAATGTAAATTAGTTTAACCACTGTGAAGAACAGTTTAAAAGTTCCTCCAAAAACTAAAAATAGAGCTACATGTGATCCAGGAATCCCACTGCTGAATATGTACCCAAAAGAAAGGAAATCAGTATATCGAAGATAAATCTGTATTCCCATGTTTGTTGTAGTGCTATTCAAAAAAGCCAAGATTCGGAAGCAACCTAATTGTCTGTCAACAGATGAATGGTTAAAGAAAATGTGGTACATATACACAACGGAGTGCTACTCAGCCATCAAAAAGAATGAGATCCTATCGTTTGCAGCAACGTGGATGGAACTGGAGATCATTTTGTTAAGTGAAATAAGCCAGACACTGAAAGGCAAACATTGCATGTTCTCACTTATATGTGGGATCTAAAAGTACAAAGAATTGAACTAGTGGACGTAAAGAGTAGAAAAATGATTCCCAGAGGCTGGGAAGGGTAGGGTCATGGCTGAGAGGGAGGTGGGAATGGTTGATGGGTCTTCAGGAAGGATACAAAAATAGTAGGAAAGCATTAATAAGCTCTACTGTTTTATAGCACAAGAGGGTGGCTGTAGTCAATAGTGTTCAGTTATTTTAAAATAACTAAAAGAACATCATGGGATTGCTTGTAACACAAAGAGTAAATACTTGAGGGGATGGATACCCCATTTCCCATAATGTGATTATTGTCAATTGCATGCCTATATCAAAATATCTCATGTACCCCATAAATATGTACATCTAGTATATACACACAAAAGTGCAAATTTTTTAAATGACACATAAAATGCTTTAAAAGTCTATCCCCAAAATTGATTTTGCTTGTCAAATATTAATTGGACCCATTTTAGCCTAAAAAAAAAAACCTTGATGAAAGAAAAAACATAGGAAGACTCACACTTTCTGACTTCAAAACTGAAGACAAAGTAACTGAAGTCAAAACAGTTTAGCAGTGGTACAAGGATAGAAGTACAGATCAATGAAATAGAATGGAGAGTCCAGAAATAAACTCATGTGTCTGAGGACAACCAATTTTAATAAGGGTGCCAAGAGAACTCAATGGGGGAAAGAATAATCTTTTCCACAAATGGTGCTGGAGCAGCTGGATAAGCACATACAAAAGAATGAAGTGTGACCTTACCTCACACTATATACAAAAATTAACTCAAAATGAATCAACGACCTAAACATAAGAACTATTACTATAAAATTTGTAGAAAACAACATAGGGGTGTATTTTCATGACCCTGGATTTGGCAGACAATTCCTATATATGACACCAAAAAGCATTAACAGGAAAAAAATTGGTAAATTGGACTTCACCAAAATTTTGAACTTTTGGGCTTCAAAGGACACCATCAAGACAGTGAAATGGCAACCCAACTGATGATTATGATTCCCAGATTTCCCAAAACTACTCCTGTACATTGTCCTGTACTCCCTCTTCCTCTGGCTTCTTTCCCTGGGGTTCCTGCTTCCCTGTCCTCACTGGGCTGAACTCTGAACTCAGAGCTCTGAGTGCCAGTCTGCTGGGTCTCCGTGGACTTGGTTTCCCAAGTGGTCTCACTCACAGACTCAGACAATTGATCTCCCCTGGATCCACCCAATGCCCCTCACGGGCTGAGCGTGTCTTGTCTGCTCTCCTTCCCTGACTCCTGTCAGTCTGACTGAATCTTTCCTCCTCAAAAGAAAAACATATGTTGACATTTCAAAAGTATAAATCATGCCCAGGGGAATAGTCTTACTTAGAACACTGCCCCATAAATCCAGCTTCATATGGGTAAGAAATTAACTTGGTATTCTAATTAACCTGATTAGAAAATGCAGAGACACTAATTAAAGTAACATTGAGAAAATATTTTTCACTCATACTTTTGATCAAAATTTTAAAATTAGTATATTAAAATGTACATGAGAGTATAAAATATTCATATACATTAATCTGTCAGACCATGTATTGCTACAGATTTTGGATTGAAATGTCTGCAGTATTTATAAAACTGTAAACTGTTTCCACCCTTTCCACTTTAACCCAATGTTCACATTGTTATGTATTTCTTAGTAAACAATATACACATTTGCACAATAATTCATGTTCAAAGATGTTGGTTTTAGTTTTATTGATCATAACAACTAGTAGAGAACAATTTTTGTATCTATCAGGTACAGAATGGTTTAATTAATTATGGTATATTAATGCTTTAAGATTCTAGAGAGTGGTTACAAAATCAAGAGAGATATATGTGTACCGTCATGGTCAGATTCTGTATCCATTTTATTAAGTGGTAAAGCCAAGTAGCATATCAATACATACATCATTATCAAAATGACCAATATACTAGTATTTTCATAGGACATCTATATATAAAAAGCCTAAACTCAGCTTTAAAATAATACATATAAGAATAATAATTATGGTGAATTCTGTGGTGGGGTTTAAATTGTGGAAGGACTTTGAAAAGGGAAAAATTATAATATATCTGTATATTTAGATTATTTGAAACAAAAATACATATACACACTGCTATTTTTGTAATAAAACTCTTTAAATAAGAAAAACAGGAAAAATAGTAGCTGTGTATTAGTAAAAATAACTGCTAGCTGATGCAACAGACCAACCCGAAAATGTGAATGGCTTGACACAACAAAAGTTTATTTTATGTGCCCATAAGTTCTGATGTGTTTTGGCAGGGGCTCTCCACTCTCACGTGATGGAGGGATCCAGGTTCCTTCCACCCTGTGATTCCATTATCTCAAAATGAAGCTGTCACCTTTACTATTAGATGGAGGAAGAAAACGTGAAAATGGCACACTGGTTCTCAAATGCCTGATGTGACAAACAATACTTCTGTTTATGTTTCAGTGATAACAAGTGGTTACATGACCCTTCCTAAATGTAACTGTGCTGTACTGTTCCCATGTGTCCAGGAAGGAGACAAAGACAAAATATGAGTAGTATGCTCTCCCGCATAAACTGTTATGTAGGAGGTGCTCAAGAAAAAAGCAACTATGATAATTTGATATTACACCACCCTTCTCATTGCTAGGAGGAGTTTCTGAGGCCACATTTGCCTTGAAGTTCTCTAATTTTTTTGAGTGCCTGCTACGTGATTGATGCTTTCAAATGTAGGCTCACAACTGTCCAAGAACCTTGAAAGTCTCAGCAGGAAGGCTCTTCAGGGAATCTTCCCTTTATAATACCCTTTAAACCCTTAGTAGGCTTAGAATTTTTCGTCCATTTGATTCCTGGTCAAAATCTTAACCTGTGGATTTCTGCTACATTCCACATGCCTAAACACCTGTCAGGTGGCTTTAGACACAATGAAAGCCCATATTTTCCTGTGAAGTACTAGACAAGACAAAGTATAATTTTGATTAATTATTCTGTTAAAATTTGACCTAGTACTCTCACAAAGGAACCATTTTACACCTCCTGGGAGACTCTGGGGTTATAGGAGTTCAACCTCAGTAGATGTGGACTCCACAGCGATTTCCATGGTCTTTCCTCATCTCCACCTTTGGCTTTTGACCACCAAGGTAAGCTCATTCACCCTTGTATGTGTTCAGTGACCAACTTCAAGTAAAACATTCCTTAAATTCCTATTACAAATAACAAGTGGTTTAAAAAGAGTCCCTCTCTAAGTTTATATCACAAGAATAGTAGATCATGTGCTCAATCACATTTCACTCGCCATCTATTTAGAAAAGTTTGAGTATGTTTAGACAAACAATTGGGATGACAGGATGTATAAATAGGAGGGCAGTTGATTTCACTCTACTTTTACAGCAAACATTAGGGAGGCCAGATTCAATTGAAAGAGAGGGAACATGAACATAGGGAAGGCCACTATAATACAGGGCAGTGTTAGAGCTGGGCAGAAATTCCTGCATCTGTGTAGTCAGCTCTCAGGAACCCCAGGGCTCAGGCAGGAGGACCCTAGGTTGATAAAGCCCACAGACTATTCCCAGATTGCGTTTCATTCTCATTGTCTCCTTCCTTTTGTAGGCCTGCCTTGAGTACCATGTCCACAGGGTCCTTCTTTTGGTCACTTGAGAGACATTATGCAGTACTGAGAAGACAAATAAATTAAGGGAAAGAGGTGTACTTCAGGCTGTGAAGAGTGAGAATAGCATGGGCTCTCGATGAACTCAGACCAAACTAGTGATTTATCAGCCATATGATCTTGGGCAAGTTACCAGGCTCCATGAGACTCAGTTTCTTCATCCGGAAAACGGGTTTGATGGACCATTATCTGTAGGACTGTTGTAATGCAGAAAATGTATTAAAATGCCTGGGATGATGCCTGGTATCTATTGGATATTTAATGATTGACAGCTATTTCCAGTATTACCTTGACCCCAGGTGCTACCACTTTCTCCTCTGGAATATTTTGTATTGTCTAGGACATCTCAGAGAATCTGCTATTCAATAGGAAACTGCATTTGCTTGGTGCATATGTACGTGTGATATAATTTCATAGAACAACAGATAAATATAGATGAGAAGGTGAGAATTAATGACTTTTTCCCTTTATTTCTCTGTTCCATAACACCAGTTCATTTTTATTGCTAAGTTCTTACATTCTCCAAGAAAATGCCTGTTCCAATGTGGTGGTATCTAATTCCAAATCACAGCAAGATGGATAATTTCCCAAAATATTTTACAAAATGGCAAACTCTTACACTTGAAATGGATAAGTAAACCTACATGTGTGATCAGTGTCATCCATACACTTAGAGGTTGAAACTAATTAAGTATTTTGTTACAGGAACAATATTTGAAAATTAACAAAAGGAAACAGAAATCTGCAAGTCACCCAATGGAAGAGAAACCTAAAGACAGTATACAATGTATTCCCCTACATCCACTGTGCCCTCCACTACTGAGAACATTGACTTCTTTCATCAAACACAGAGGGAAGAATGGGCCTGATTTCACACAGGGCAGGGAAGCTGCTGGATGTGGCCCTGAAGCATGCATTGGCTCAGTTCCCTGCCCACTGGCCCTGGTTGCATCTCTTGCTCAGACTCCCTCTCCCTCCACTCTCAAAGCCTCTTCATAAAGGGATGGGTAAGAAGTTGGATCCCTCCCATTGGCATTGGCTATATACTCAAGAACTTTCATCTTGCTGGTCTCAACGTGGGCCCTTGGACCCCACAGGAACTCATAGCATGTGGGATTGCTGCCGGGCACCTGCCGGTACACCAGGTACTTTTCCTCCACCCAATCTTGGGTGAGGAGCTTCTTGGGCTCCCCAAATAGGAAGTGCTCCCTCCCAGCATACACCCCCATAATGCTCAGCACTTCCCACATAACTTTTTCAGAGGCACAGTTACCCTCCATGAAGATTATGCCCAGGACTATTATCAGGAGGCCAGACTTGGGCATGCTGTGCTTATCACCCAGTATACCATCATAGGAGAGGCCGAGAGAGGTGATAAGGACGTAGGAGTGGCTAATGGGGTCCACTTCCTTCACGTCAATGCCAAAGAGCAGCTTCGTGCATTCAGAGGCTTCCCTAAATATCTCAGGAAAGTATTCCTCGTAATTTTTGATGACACTCTCCAGCATTTCTGCTTTCGTGATCAGCTTCTTGACTCGATATTTGTGGAGCAGTAAATGAACCAAATCAATTATCTTCTCATGTAGTGTATCTTGGAGGAAGGACTCAGGGTCTGCCAGGTCAGGCGAGGTACTTGGCCCCTCCTCTTCTTGGCTGCAGCAACCCTCATCAGATAGGACCCAAGAGATGGAGTCCATGGCAGTGGGGGAGGAGGAAGCTCCCTGAGGACTCTGGGAAGGACTCGGTGACTCAGCCGCAGGCACCTCCTCTAGAGTACCTGCATTAACAGTACAGGACAAGGAGGCTGTCTCCTGCTGCTCAACTGAGAGAGCCTGCGCACCCACCAGGCCGGGGGCTTCTTCTTGGGCCTGAAGACCTTCCTCAGGCTTACAGTGGTGACTCCTTTGCCCAAGAGGCATGGTGACTCTGGTCAGGTCAGCAGGCAGCACTGTGGGAAGGATCTGGGTGATGGGGAACCACAGGCCTGGGGAGAGAGGGAGCGTGAGAGCAGACTCAGCTGAAATATGAACCATGGAGAGTCTGACAAACACCTACTTACAGGTCTTCTCCTCCAGTGATCCTCTCCGGCCTTCTGGGGCTCCTGTCCTACTGCTTGTCCTGTTCTCTAAGAATCTGAAAAAGAAGGTGAGAAGGCTGCTCAAGATGCAGCTGGACATCAGAGCAGAATGCTCCAGGACTGAGGGTAGGGCAGGCGAGGCTCCAAGTTGGGGGTCCCTTTCTGTACTTAGGCAGGTTGGGCCCTTTGTATGTTGAGGATGATCATCTCCTCTTGACTGCTGGCACTGCCTGGGTTTCCTCTGCTCTGAGACCTGAAGACACTGCCTCAGACAAAAGCCTCACTGCTCAGTTTTTGGAGCTTCTAGAAGAGGAGCCATGGAGCTCTCAGGCTGCAAACTGCAAGAACCATCCTGGCACCCCAGCACTATCAGAAAGGTGGGCAAGACTCTGTGAGTTTCTCATTGTTTTGGAGTGGATGGTCCCCTATGAGCTTAGGGCCCTTACCTTTCTCCTGCCAGGGTCTGAAACATACACTTCTGTTGACCTGAGACACTCTCAGATCAATAGCTCACTTTCCTGATATGAAAGAGGACATGTGGAGATCCACATCTGGCAACATACATCCAGGACTACCCAGGAAGGACAGCAAGAGGTGGTGATATTCAGCTGGGTCCATGTGTCCTGGGGTAAGACCTGCTTGTTCCCCATCTTGATGCCCATCTGGGGCTGGGACCCACCCTCCGTTGACCTGGGCCACATCCTGAAACCAAAGCTCTATCTCCACCACACGTTGGAAGAGGAAATCAGGGAAATGGAAACACCCATGGTTCCCTGTGACTTCCCATGGCTGACAGAAGGGGCAGGGTAGGGCTGGGTCACATGTGTTTGGTATGTGGGGTCCCCTTGGCCCCCACTTGATTCTGAGTATGGCCTGGGACCCTCCCACTGCTGACCTAAGTGCAGCCCTCTCAGACCAAAGCCTTCCCCTCCCTGAGACCAATGATCCCAGTGTAAGAGAGGGGCCTCAACAGATAGTCCCGCACATGATCTCTGGAGAGACAGCAGGGGCAGAGCAGACTTCGGTGTGACTCTCCTCTGTGTTCTGGCCAGGGGAAACCCTCAAGGTTTCTCACCTGACTCTTGGCAGATCCAGGGACCACTTTATTTGTGGACTTGATGGGGCTCCTTTTGTTGGCTCGAAGGCGTCCTCTGAGAACACAGTCCTCACCTGCCTGAGATTCCAAAACAGAAATGATGGACCCCACATCCCATCACCCGGTGTGCGGTTGTCCAGGGCTGATGGCAGAGGCTGGCCCCTTCGGTTCTGGGGTAGGGATTCCTCCAAAGTCCTCCTGTGGGTTTTTCATCTTTACTCCTGCCAGGGCCTGTCCTTCCTCTACTCCAAACCCCTTAGATGAGCAGACGTATTCCTTTACACCAAGATCTATTCTCTCTGAAGGTCCCCCAACTTCCTGCTTGTGGTATAAGTGAGCTTCCCATCTAGGGCCACCCATAATCAGGTCCCTTTAGTGCCAAGACAGGGGACAGTGAGAGTCTGTGGGGTCCCTTCATTATGGGATGGGGAGTATCGCCAATCCTCAGGAAGGAGGCACACCTTGAGTCCTAAAGGTCCTGGGACCTCTCCCTCTGCTGACAAGTTGTGGCTCCATCTGCTGACCTGTCATCATCCCCTTGAAACCAGATGCTCACTTCCATGAAACCCGCCACCCGCAACCACATGGCAGAAATGAGAGCATGGCACAGGCCTCCCCTTCCTGGGGCTTCCCAGGGATGAAAACAGAGGAAGGAGGGATTTGTGAGGTCTCTTTTTCTTTGGCATGTGAGAGGGTAACTTCTTGCCTTCAGTCTTCACCCATTTTCCTCTCCTTGACTACCGGCAGATCCTGGACTCCACCCTGTGCTGACCAGGTGTGGACCCCTCTGCTGACCTGAGGACCTGCCTCAGATCAAGGGCCCCACCTCTCTGAGACGTGGAAGACAGAAAGTGAAGGGGCGCTACATGGATATCCCTGCATGGCATTCCAAAGGCTGACAGATGGAGCAGATTTCATGGGTGCTTCCTCTCTCTGGGTGTCCTCCAGGTATTCAGATTTACTCCTGACAAGGTCTATCCCTTTCACTCCTGCTGATTTGTGGATGGGTTTTGCAGTCCAAGGCCACTGTCTCTTGGAGAACCCCAACTAGGAAGTGGGGAGGTGCCCCTCTTTCCTAGAGTCCTGCCTGGGGCCTCCCAGGACTGATGGCAGGGGCAGATTTTCTGCCTCAGCAATAATTGGTCGACTGAGTCCTCCCTCAGGGCTCTGGGACTCCTCCCTGGGCTGACCTTAGGGTTCACTCTTCAGACCACAACCCTCTCCTCTCTGACACTCCGAAACCACAGTGAGGATGCACCGCATATGGCCACTGTGCCTGGGATCTCCAAGGGTCAAGGTCCCCACTGACCTGGAGTCCAAGGTCTCCTGAATCCTCCTTCTTCTTCCTCCCCTTGATCCTGGCAGGGCTGAACCCAAGACCCTCTCTGTGGACCTGGGTCTCCCTCTCTCATATTCCCAAGGCCGAATGGGGAGGCGCCTCAGTCTGAGATGGGAGCAGGTGGGCCCCCATCCTGGGCTGCTGGGTCCCCTCAGGCCTCCCACAGACCCCTTATCTCCCAGCAGGGACTGGACCCTGGCTGTGCTCCCCGCAGGTCATGCTCGTGATATCAAGCCCCTTCCCTCGGTCAGCCCAGGATGCACAAATCAGGATCCGTGTGCCTGGTGGACATGCCAGGAACTTCCCAGGGCTGACAGCAGAGATGGAACCTTGCTCTGTGGGGTCTCAGACCTCCCTGATGATTCTGACCTTGATGCCTGGCAGAACCTGGGCCCTGCCCTCTCCTAACCGGCCCTGCCCTGGTCACACCAAGCTTTGACCCCAGAGTTCCCTGAGGCTTAAGCAGCCAGGCTCTGGGGAGCGGAAATGGGCCAAGACCCAGCTTGAGAAGTCCGCCCCCGTGGGGTGATCCAGGGCTGACAGCAGATGCGGTGCTGGATTATTTGGGGTCTTCTGTCTGGGGAGGGGGCGTCCTCAGTCCTCCCTCAGCGTCTCATCTTGCCTCCTCACAGAGCCTGGGCCCGGTGCCCTCAGCGGATATCAAGCCGCCGCTCAGAACCAGGCTCTCACGTCTCTGTAAGCCCTAATGCGCAAGGCGGAGCACCAAGCCGGAGCTTCCTTGCGTTGACAGAAGGGACAAAGAAGGACTCTATCGGGATGGGGTGGAGCCTCTCCATAATTTCTCAGAGTCCTGATGTTGCCGTCTGGAAAGGCCTGGGGCCCCACCCTTTATGGAACTGCCTCTGCCCAAGTCACACCATAGACCCAACTCAGAGTCTCATTGGGCATTGAGGGGGGGATTGTCTCAGCCTGATAATTTGGTCCCCTGTTGGTTCAGGGCTGGCTCCAGGACCAGCACTGGATTATTTGGGGCCCTCTATCTGGGTAGGGGGTGTCCTCAGTTCTCCCTCAGCTCTCACCTTGCCTCCTGGGCCCGCTGCCCTCTGCTGCCCTCAAGACGCCCCTCACAGAGAGACGCCCTCACTTCTCTCAGATTCCAGAGGCGGAAGCCAGTGGAGGTCACATCCGGCCCGCAAGCCTGGAGCTTCCCTGGATTGACAGCGGGGGCGGAACCTGCTTCTGCCCCCGTGGCCGTGAGGGCGAAACTAGCGGCGAGGGGTGCAGATGCTCTCGGGGTCACAGGGGTGCCTCAATCCTCCCTCAGGTTTCTGACCTTGATTCCTTGCAGAACTTGGAGCTCCGTCCTCTTCCTAGGGTGTTTGCTCTCCTCAGACCAAGTCTCTGAGTCTCCTGAGGTGGCAGTGAAAGGAGGGGTGTGGTCGGGGTGCCAACGTTGCCAGGGTCTTCCAGGACTGACAGGAGGGGCTGAGCTGTATTCTATGATCCCTCTATGTGGGGCGGGTGGACCCTCAGTCATTCCTCAGGAGGCTCCTCCCCCCGGGCTCCTGGCTCTTTTATGAAGTGATGGGTGGGATATGCTCTGCTGCCCTCACGGTGAACCATTTGCCCAGCGGCACCTCTTGCAGAGAATGGCTGCGGATCCCAGGCCAGGTGCTTCCTGGGGTGCTTCAGCACCCGTGATTGTAGGACCTCTGGGAGAAGGCGCACACCTGCCCATGGGGCTCCTCCTCAACCAGAGTTAGACGCTGGCCCTGTTGGTTCTTGGGTGGGGATTCCAAAGTCGTCCTATGGGTTATTCATCTTTACTCCTGCCGGGGCCTGCCCTTCCTCGACTCCTAATCCCTGAGATGAACAGACATCTCCCCTTTACACCAACACCTCATCTTCTAGGGGTTCCCCAACTTCCTACCTGTGGTATAAGTGAGCTTGCCACTTATGGCCACCTGTGATCAGGTCCCCACAGACTCAAGAACAGGTGACAGCAAAACTCTGTTTGCTAGATCATTTTTTTTTTCTTGCAGGACTATTGTAATGTAAGATATGTATTAAATCACCTGGCACAGGGTCTGGCATATATTGAATATTTAATAAATGGCAGTTTTAAAATATTATTTTTAGACCGTATCCTACTATAATCTCCTTTGGGAATCACTTCTGTTGTTATCTAAAATATCGCAGACGACATGCAGCTCAATACAACTTATAATACCAAATTAGTAAAAATTGAAGCTTTGTGAATCAAAGTCAATAAAATTTCCCTCCCAGATGGTCTATTATTTAATTTGGTTGTATGAGTCTTCCCCATCTGGATGCAGCTCAAAGATCTTGAAATCTGAGTGAAAGATCAATTCATTCTCTCCCTCCCAGCTGCTTTTCCATCCAAACCAATTATTTTCATTCATTTTACTCCTATCCCAAATCTAGCCCTTGATTATCCGAGTTATCCATTTCAGATCACGGCCTCACCTCCCTGAAACCCCACTCCCACCCCACTGCAGAAGTGGGAGCATGTCACATCAAGCATCTTGCCAGGGTCCTCCTAGGGCTGACAATAGGCAACAGCCAGAATCCTGGAAGGTCCTTCTTTTCCGAACGTTGTGTTTCTTCTAATTTCATTCTTACAGGTTCTACTCACTTCCAGAGTTACTCTTGCCAGCACTTTTTCTCTTGATATTCATTATAGAGGTTGTTTCATATGTTTGTAATATAGTTATTCTGTTTTGTCATATTATCCATTCTTGGGATCTTCAGACCTCCTAAAATTTTTTTTTATATTTCCATACATTAGGGGTCACAGTTGTTCTGAGGGTTTTGGCAAATGCATAGTGTTACATTCACCATTACTGTATCATACAGGATAGCTTCACCACCCTAATAAATCCCCTGTGCTTACCCTATTCAACCCTTCCCCCTCACCCACCCAACTCCTGGAAGCAACTGATCATTTTACTGTCTCTATAGTTTTGCCTTTTCCAGAATATCAAATGAATTGTATCATCATGTAGTATCTAACCCTTTCAGACTGGTTTCTTTAACTTAGGGATGGGCATTTAATATTCATCCATGTCTTTGTATGGCTTGTGATATGATTTGGCTGTGTCCCCATCTAAATGTCAACTCGAATTGTGTCTCCCAGAATTCCCATGTTTTGTGGGACGGACCCAGGGGGAGGTAATTGAATTGTGGGGGTGTTCTTTCCCATGCTACTTTCGTGATAGTGAATAAGTCTCACGAGATCTAATGGGTTTATCAGGGGTCTTCACTTCAGCTTCTTCCTCATTTTTCCTCTTGCCACTGCCGTGTACCAAGTGCCTTTCACCTCCTGCCGTAATTCTGAGCCTTCCCAGCCATGTGGAGCTGAAAGTCCAATTAAACATTTTTTTCTCCCCAGGCTCAGGTATGTCTTTATCAGTGGCATGAAAACAGACTAATATGACTTGATAGCTCATTTCTTTTTGTTGATTAATAGTGTTCTGTTAAATGGTTGTACCACAGTTTGTTTATCCATTCACCTCCTGAAGAACAACTTACCTGCTTCCAGTTATTGACAATCATTAAATAAGCTATGATACAAATTTATACACAAGATTTTGGATAGACATAAAATTTCAAATTACTTGGGTTAATACCTAGGGGGTGTGTTCTCTGAATCATATGGTAATACTATGTTCAGCTTTGTAAGAAACTCACAAACTGTCTTCCAAGGTGACTGCACTGTTTGCATTCACCAGCATTGAGTGATTCTAGTTGCTCAGCATCCTTGCCAGCCATTGGTACTGTCTGCTTTTTAAAAATTTTAGGCACTCTAAATATGAAATTAATGTAGCAATTCCAGCTTTCTTTTGTCAGTGTTAGAATACCTTTTCAACCTCCTTACATTTAACTTATGTGAGTCCTTATAATTAAAAATGAGGTTCTTTTAGAAAACGTGTTCTTGAGTATTATTTTTTATTAATTCTGACAATCTGTCCTTTATTGGTGTATTTACACCATTCAAACTTAAAGTGATAATATAATCACATTAATATCTATCATGTATGTAACTGTTTCATATGTATTTAATTTTTCTTTATTCCTCTTCTTTTTCCATCTTCTTTCATTTTATAGAGCATTCAGTACATGTAAAATATACCTCTTTTTAAAAAAAGTGTCTTTCTCTTGGAGTTTACAACATATATTTTGATAACATGCCATAAAATAACACTATACTGTTTCCTAGATAGTATAGACACGTTATAAAAGAGTATACTCAATTCCTTCATTGCATTGCTTGTAACATTAGTATCACTTATTTCATTTTTCCATATACACTAATTGCCTGATACAATGGTATTACTATTAATGTAAATAAATAGTTACATTTTAGGTCAGTTAAGAATAAGAAAGCGCCGGGCATGGTGGTTCACGCCTGTAATCCCAGCACTTTGGGAGGCTGAGGCGGGTGGATCACGAGGTCAAGAGATAGAGACCATCCTGGTCAACATGGTGAAACCCCGTCTCTACTAAAAATAAAAAAAATTAGCTGGGCATGGTGGCGTGTGCCTGTAATCCCAGCTACTCGGGAGGCTGAGGCAGGAGAATTGCCTGAACCCAGGAGGCAGAGGTTGTAGGGAACCGAGATAGTGCCATTGCACTCCAGCCTGGGTAACAAGAGCAAAACTCCGTCTCAAAAAAAAAAAAAAAAAAAAAAGTATACGAAAGCATTTTATTTTACTTTTATTTATTCCTTCTCTGGTATTCTTTCTTTGGGTAGACATACATTCACTACCTATATAAGATTCCTGTAATTATGAGAAAAAAATAGAAAATGAGTAAGAACAAAAAACAAACAAACAAACAAAACTGATGACCATTAGATGCAGAGAATCATTTGAAAATTTCAATACATCTCATTTTTTAAAATTCTCAGCAAGTTAGAAATATATGTGAGCATTGTCAATTCATTAAAGGAAATCTACAAAAAGAACCCAGAGCTAAGAATAGGCTTAATGATGAAATATTGAATGCTTTCCATCTAAGGTCAGGATCAAGGCAAAAATAACGGAGTTCATACATCTCCTCATCTTTTTCTATTAGAGGTTCAAATTATTGCAATACACCAAGAGAAAGAAATGAAAAACATGATTTAAAAGGAAGAAATAAAATGGTCTTTACTGCAAACAGCATGCTGGTCAATGTGGAAAATCTTAAGGATTCTACAAAGAAAAAAGCAAAACTGCAATTAATAAGTGACTATACCATGGTTGTGTGATACACGTTTAATATACAGAAATTAATTGCGTATCTCTCTACACTAGCAAAAAACACATGAAAATGACCAAAAAAAAAAAAAAAGCAAGCACTTCATGAATAGCAAAACATAAAGTACTTTGGAATACATTTAATGAAAAATGTGTAAGACCTGTACACTGAAAACTACAAAATATGACAGAAAAATTAGAAAATACCTAAATAAATGAAGAGATAATCCATGCTAATAGATGAGAAAAATCTAAATTGTTATTTCATTCTATTGCTTATAATTCAGTGCTATCATTATTTATATTGTTGCTCAAATTTTCCAGCTTTTGTGAGCCCTTTCAGCCTTTGGAAGTTCTTGTGCTCTTTTTATGTACCTCATCATTTCTTAAGTACTCTGGCATCACAAAATGCTAAGCTCACCTTGTATTTTATCTGCCCCAGTCCTAGAACTAAACAAATACCTAAATTTGGACTTCCTCAAGATTAAAATCAAATCAAATGAAGACAGGCCACAGACTGGGAGAAAATATTTGCAAAGCACACATCAGAACATTG